ACACACACACACACACACACACACACACACACACACACACACACACACACCCTACCTGTTTTTATCAATGATGATCGCGGGTCCAGAAACTGTATGATCACATGACAGATCCTCCATGAGGTATACAGCAGTGTCTAGATAACCCTCATCAAAGTAACACTTTACCACCTGTCGACCAATAAGGAAACAGGGAGTTTAACTTGGAAGAGGGCTGACTATGGTTTCAAATCCGAGATGTACAGATCAGGAAGGAACACTGTATGTGGGGCTCCATCCACCTGTAGCACAATCTGTGATAAAGACTTCACTGAAGCTACAGAAATTGTCAGCCCCTGCAAGGGTACAAGTTCTACACATGGCGGTGGATCTGTGGCGGTTTGTGATACATGGGCCCAGTCACAATTGCACAGCCTCCAGCTCCTATATCAGATTTTCATTACATCCTATTATTGCTGATTTTGCTGTTTGGTGTGTAAGTATTCCTGTTTGGTGGCTTCACCAGGTTGACACCTCATCTGTAGTTATGCCTGGTGCTGCTCCTGGCATGCCCTCCTGCACTCTCCACTGAACAAGGGTTGATCCCTTGGCTCAATGATAGAGTGGGGGATATACCGGGCCATGAGGTTACAGGTTAGGCTGGAGTACAATTCTGCTGCTGTTGATGGCCCACAGTGCCTCAAGGATGCCAGTCTTGAGTTGTTAGATCACTTTGAAGTCTGTCCCATTTAGCACGGTGATAGTGTTACACAACACGATGGAGGTTGTTCTCAATGTGAAGGCGGGACTTCATCTCCACAAGGACTGTGCGATGGTCACTCTTTCCGATACTGTCATGGACAGATGCAACTGCAGCTGGCAGATTGGTGGGGATGAGGTCGACCCCTTGTTGGTTCCTTCACCGCCCCACAGGCCCAGTCTAGCAGTGGTGTGGAACAAAGACAATAGCTCCCATCCTCCTGAGCTTTAGTGAGAGGGAATATGAACTGATCCAAAGATAGTAGGAACTGCCGATGCTGGAGAATCTGAGATAACAAGGTGTAGAGCTGGATGAACACAGCAGTCCAGACCCGAAACGTCAGCTTTCCTGCTCCTCTGATGTTGCTTGGCCTGCTGTGTTCATCCAACTCTACACCTTGTTATCTCACGAACTGATCCAATCCTTCATGGGGAATCTGATAATTTAGAGACAGTGGAAGGATCAAAAATGGGGGTCCTCAGGTCAGAAATAGGAGGAGGTCAACGATAGGTCCCTGAGGATCACAAAAGGAACTGTTCCAGGAGCAGGAACAGAAATCATTTACAGGTAATTCACTGGCTATGGTCCACTTGGTAAGAAGCAGCCACGTCACTGGGGTGATAAATTGGGGCCAGTATTATTCAGTGACCAGTGGGTTACACAACCATCACTGGATCAGGAATATAGACGCCAAGGCTCATGTGCTGGGAACATGAGTTTGAATCCCACCACAGTAACGGGGTGGAATGTGAACTTGTTTAATAAAATTAGGAATTTAAAGATAGTCTCCATGAGGGAGACTGTCATTAATTGTTATAAAATCAAGGAAAACTACCATCTGTACATAGTACATATGACTGCAGACCCACAGCAATGGGCAAGTCAGATGCTGAGAGACTGGTTGCTATGTAGAATTACTGATGCAAAAGCGCCTACTAGCCAACTGGACTTCAAACAGGCATTACACACTTAACTGTCCTCTGAAAGGACCCAAGCAAGGCCTCAGTTCAAGGCCAATTAAAGATTGGCACACATCCCATGAAAGAATAAAGAGAAAAAATCCTATGTTAGTCAGTGATTGGGTTAATGAACACAGACCAGGGTAAGTCAGTGACTGGGTTAATGAACAGGAAACAGGGTTAGTCAGTGACTGTGTGAATGAACAGGAACAGGGTAAGTCAGTGTTAAAACTGTTACCCTTGACACTCCCACGTACAGTTTCAACGCGAGGCTCTCTTCCACTGCATTTCATTTTCTGTTCCTTTTTGAAAGCAGATTTGGCACAGCCACGCACGCGGATGTCATCCACTATGATCGGCCGGTCTGGTATTACGAAGCCAAACTCTTTCATGTACCTGGCAACACAGCAGGCAGTGTCAGCACGCTGGACCATAAAATCCTAAATCAGGCCTTTCAGCCCCAATCAACTCACTGATCCATTCAATGAGATCCACTTTCCTGCCTTCTACCCAAAACACATTGACTCGGACAAGACCCCTCAGAATCTTATGTTTCAATAAGCTCATGTGTCATTCTCCTAAATTCAAACTCATCAGATGACCCCAGGTCCAGTGGCTTTTAACAATCATGAGCCCCCCACCCATCTTCCCCACAACCCACCGACACTGAGCCCCGTTCCCAAATCCAATGGCAACCCCCATACTCTGCTTGCGTCAGATCCCCATACTCAATGTATGTCCCTGCTATCCCGAAGGTTCAGGCTTTAACACCTTAAAGGGTCACAGCAGACACAGTAAGAGATAGGAGCAGCAAAGGGCAGCTTGCCTCTTAGTCCTGCTCCTCCATTCGATCAGATCTTTCACGGTTGGTCACAAACACTATTGCAACCACAACCTCCCAGAATCAAAACGTTAAAAGGGTTACAGTCTCTGAGGAGCCCCTTGGGGTAGATTGTAGGGTTATTAGGACGGAGAATGATACAGAGCCCAATCCCAGGTAAAAGAAATGTCAAAGAGAGGGCTTACAGTATGTAATAGTCATACAGAGTATACTAACTGTGGGGCAACATCAATCTGGCTGGCTGGATGGGGTTGTAGGGTGAAGGGTCACAGTCTGAGATGATTCATGACATAGTAGGCTTGCTACTTTTGAGCCCAATGTCCATCCCAGAACATTCATGAAACACAAGAGAGGTGGGCACTGGCCTGGTGTGTCCTTGATTTGGAATGTCAGGGTGTGAATGGGGGAAATTGCAGAGACAGAAACATTCTAACACAGACCCTTTAGTTGAGCGATGTAGAAACGAGAGTGAATAAATCCCAAGCCCCATGATTACCAGCCCGTAGCTGGGTTTGAAAACACGACAGTTGTCAAATTTTCTAACCTGCTGGTGAAGGCAGTGTGGAAGTCTCCATGGCGACAGGAATCAGAGCCACGGCGTGGAGGGTGTGAGCTGCCAGAACACATGAGGGCACAGTCGGTACGGTCATATCGCAAGTGAAGGAAAGCCTCCGTGTGAATCTGACACCTGAAAAACCACAGCAGAAACACACCAATCAAACAAATGATCATTTCCCCAAATATTCCTGGAATAATGGAGTGACAGGCAGGACGGCAAGGCGAAGGGACTGCAGGGAGTTCAACCCGATACACTGTTATCGTACAACTGAAAGATCACGTCAGAGAACAGGCAAGGGCCAGGGATCACCTACAGGCCCAGACGGACAAGTGTCGCAGGATTCCCTCCCCTACATGAGTGAACTGGTGGATTTTTACATCAATCAGGGAGTACCATGGATCTTTAATTGACAGCCTTTCTGTTTTCAACTTCTATCTCTAATACTGCAGCACTCCCTCAGTATTGATCCTCTGACAGTGCGGCGCTCCCTCAGCAGTGACCCTCCGACAGTGCCCACTCG